TAAATGAGAGCGATGCAAGAAAATCATGAAAAACAAGTCAACAGTTTGGTAAAGGAGACACCAAGAAAAAAAAATACTGAAGAAAATAACACCTTAAAACAACAGACTAGGCCAAATGGTCAAAGAGGCCCAAAAAGCCAATGAGGAAAAGAATACCCTAAAAAGCAGAATTGGCCAGATGTAAAAGGAGGTCTAAAAGCTCACCCTGACATCCTAGAAGCAGTGGTTAAAATAGAAATTGAAAGACTCCATCGATCACCTCCTGAAAGAGATCCCAAAATAAAAACTGCCAGGAATATTATAGCCAAATTCCAGAGTTCCCAGGTAAAGGTGAAAATATTGCAAGCAGCCAGAAAGAAACAATTCAAATATTGTGGAGCCACAGTCAGGATAACACATGATTTAGCAGCTTCTACGTTAAAGGATTGGAGGGCTTGGAATATGATATTTCAGAGGGCAAAGGAGCCAGGATTACAATCACCTACCAAGCAACACTGGGGGGAAAATGGTCATTCAATGAGAAGAGGACTTTCAAGCTTTCTTGATGAAAAGACCAGAGCTGAATAGAAAATTTAGCTTTCAAATACAAGACTCAAGAGAAGCATGGAGGGGCAGCTAGATGGCGTAGTTGATGGAGCACCAGCCCTGAAGTCAGGAGGACCTGAGTTCAAATCCAGCCTCAGACCAAACACTTGACACTTACTAGCTGTGTGACGCTGGGCAAGTCATTTAACCCCAATTGCCTAAAAAAAAAACGAAAACAAAAAAAAACAAAAACAAAAACAAACAAACAAAAAAAAACAGAGAAGCATAGAGAGGGAAATCATAAGAGACTTAATAAGGTTAAACTTTATATTCATTCCTACATGGGAAGATGATATTTATAACTCATAAGACCTTTCTCATTATTAGGGTAATTAGAAGGAGCATTATAGAATTATATAAGACAGAGGGCAGAGGTGTGAGTTGAATATTAAGGGATAATATTTAAAAATATGAAATTTAGGGTTAAGAAAGGAATGTACTGGGAGGACTTTTGATGAAAAAATGCTTTCTACCTCTAGAGAAGGAACTGATGGGATCTAAATGCTGATTGAAGCATAATTTTTTCACTTTATTTTTCTTGCTTTTATTTTTGCAACATGGTTAATACAGAAATATATTTTGCATAATTTCACACATATAATTGATAACCCATTTCATGCCTTCACAATGGGTGGGGAAGAGTGGAAGCAAGGGACAAAATTCAGAACTCAAAATTTTTTAAAAAAATGAGTGTTAAAACAAATAAATAACTATTGAAAAATAAAAATAGACTTATGATTGCCCTAGCAACTCCCAGGACCTTAAACATCATTCCCCCAACTCCTATAATTTAACACGCCTTCCCCTCTTCCCCCCAAATGCTCTAATTCTTTCCATTCTCAACCCATATTGTACCTGCCAGGTATGACTAAAGATAACATGGTTTAATGAGGGTTGAAGAAACCAAAAAATAATATGTTTCTCTATGATCCCAAATATTGTCTCTGAGATCAACTGTCTTATCCTGCTAAGAAACCCCTCCCCAGTTTGCATTATTTCCTAAAATTTCACATAGGATTTAGAGCTAGAAGAAAACTGAGTGATCATCTGGTCCAACTGCATCCTTTTACAGCTGAGGAAATTGAGGCTCAATTTACTCGAGGTAAAGTGACTTGTCTAAAATCACAAAGATAATATGAAACTGACTCCAAATCAAGAGTTCTTTTTGATGTACTATTTGGCCTCCCTGCCTTGCCCCCAAAAATGATCATCATCAAAAAAGGAATAAATGAGAGTCATAGTAATGGAATCTCTACTCTCTTCTAGTACCTTCTGTTGGTGAGGTGCAATACTGGCTGAATAAGAACAGTTTTAGAATTTCAGTGATTGATGGAGAAGATCACTAAGATTCCACGGACATTCTGGTGAGGAAGCCAATAGCAGAGATTAGTGTAATAGAATGCTTTGGGTTAAGAGCAGATATCAAAAGGAAGAGCCATACCTAGAGAGGGATAAGCAGTTTTTCCCAGGGCATGAGAATCAGAGGATACTAAAAACACTTGCATTCTTCAGCATTGTAAAAACTGAACTCAGCGCCTTGTCAGCAAGAACAATTTGTTAAAATAGGATACTAATAAAGGAGGTGCTTCCTTTTTCCCTTCTCCCTCATGGTGGTCACGGTGAGCTGCCCCTGCCCAGTCTTATCCTGCTCTCTCTTCCACTCCCCGGGCAGCATACTTCTCAATGATCATTTCTCATTGTCCTGGAGTCACTGTCTCTCTACTACAACTGAATTTACCTTTGTAAAGTGACTTCAGAACACACTTTATACTCTGGGTCCTAGTCACATTTTGTGCCCTGCCATGACGAAATGCCATGGTCAAGGGCGAGTTTCTGAACAAAGGTCTTAATGAAATGCACAGTAGCCAAAGTTAGTATATATCATTACTCACGTGGGCACCATGCTCCAGTAAGACTTTTGCACATGCAACGTGGCCCCCAAGACAGGCTTCGTGAAGTGAGGAGACGCGGTTTATTGTCACGAGGTTCACATTGATTCCCTAAATTGGGAAAAAAAAAAAAAGAGGAATGACTACTATGTTTGGGAGAGTAATGACAATATTTTCCCCCCTCAGTTTTACGTATTCAAGAAATGAACAAGATCTATTGATATTAAGTGGGAAAGGAGGAGGGATGCTTAAGAGAGGGGTAGGAGAGATTGGAGTAGGGTGAGACAGAGGGGAGCAGAGCTATGGTTAGACAGGGAAGATGTGGAGCTCCTAGAATTAACAGGTGCTCAAAGAACAAAAATAGTTGCCCAGAGCCCTAAATTCCAATCTCCATTCCAACCTACAACTACCTAATGGGGCAAGGCTCTTTTTAAATTATCTGACTTATTTTTCAAGTATGACTCCACACATGTAATAAAGAAGAAATACCCTAGTCTACCTGGCTCCTGAGAATAAGTCTGACAGAAGAAATAAATTTAAACATCTAAAGGAGGTCAGGGTCTGGAAAAGGCTGAGATTAGAAAACATCAAGTAAAGAGAATAAATAATTCATTAGCTTCACAGCTCTCTCATAGAGACAATTGCATTAGATTCTTCCAGGGCCCTAAAACTTAAAAACTGTAACCACCATTTGGAAATGGACAAATGCTTCAATATTAAATATTAATCATCAGTTTTCAAATGACAGTATAATTTTTGAACTCTTCAGTGATTGCACTGTACTCATCCATATAACTAGGGTGTGAAAGTTTTTTTTTTAAGTCTGGTTTTTACTGCTTTTATAGAGGTGGTACAATACATAATGATTACATGATTAGCTGCCACTAGATCCCCAAAACATTAGCATCTGGGGTCACGTTGCCAACCTGTCCATTCAACCCTAGCCTAGACTCAAAGGAGACCCTGATCCTGGTGCTAGTTCCTCTTCCTTTTTAAATTAATTTCTATATATTTTGATTTTACTTATCTGTATGCTCTTCAGTAGGATAGAAATGGTAGAATGGTTCAGTTTTTGTCTTTGTATTCCTAGTACTAGTATAGTGCTTGGCATATATTAGTTGCTGCATAAACTCTTGTTGAATTGAATAGAAAGGAAAGGAATGAAATGGAACCAAGGAGGAATATGGGGGACCTTAGGCAAGAAGCTCTACTTCAGGCCTGTCCTAGTGCTGGTCCCACTCTAACCTTGGGCTCCTGTCCTATTTCCCTGTTCCAAATTACCTCTTTTTACCCTAGTATTTAGGGCCTTATCTTATTGTCCCATGCTTTTGTCTGTGCCTTAATTCCCCAACCATTTGCTTAATTTGTTGATTTATTTGTTGACCTACCCACCTCCCAAATCCTCTGTTAATCAACCAATCAATCAACTAGTATTTAACAGGTTCTGTGCTAGGACAGGTACAAAGAATGAAACAATCCCTGATCACCATGAGTTTATATCCTAATAAGGGAAACAGCAAGTACATAAATATATGTATATATACATATATATATATATATACAGAATAAAGAAAAGGTTTATATAGACATATATATGCATATACATATTCATCTATAGGTACAAATCACATAAAGTTTCAAATTAATCATTTTATGTAATTTAGAAAAATAATTTTTTTCCTTTTCTTAGATATGACTTGCTTAAAAACCAATTTGCTCACAAGATGGCAGCAGTGCGTCACAGAAAATCTTGGAGTGGGTGAAAATTCTTGGAGTCTTGGAATCATAGAACTTTGTAACTGGAAGAAACCTTAAGACTCCACCTAGTCAAAACTCCTCAATGTATAGATTAAAAAACCAAGGCCCAGAAAGGTTGTATTTTGTATCATGTCACACAAAAATTCCAGGATTCATTGTGTGATGCAAGGCAAAACACAGGCTTTACAAGCCTTAGTTTCTTCATCTATAAAATCAAGAGACTAATCTAGTATCTTTCAATTACAAATATTTGTGATCTCACAAATCTTTCAAAACACTGTGGCTTCTAAATATTAAATAGACCAAAAATTAATGATAGAAGCTGTTGATAATGTTACCAATCTGATCTTATTCTGATTTTGTAAGGAAGAAAACAGAAAGGAAAAAGAGGGGAGATTTGGGACAAAGGAAACAATGTTGTAGATAAACTGAATTTGACTTTCAGCAGTCTCCCTAGGTTATTCATCAAAATAGTGAAGGATAAGCAAGTACAATAAAGGAGGAGAGAATCATTTTTAAAAATATGTATTTAATGAAGGCTTTATTGAAAATATTCTTTATTGGTAATTCCCTTTCAAGGACAAAACAGTTCACATGCAAGAAGAAGAAATGAAAGCAACATAAATCTCAAAAATTTAGTACATAGTGTTTAGCACAGTACTTGGCACATAGTAAATATTTCATAAATATTTGCTGTTTGTTTTATTGATTAAAATGATGCCATCACTAGTGAGACAAGACAGATCTGGAATAATAAAAGGGTATATGTAATGAATCATCTCTTCAATACACATTTAAATTCTAAATCAAGCACAATTTCTTCTGGCTACAATTATTCATATATTTATTAAACCTTTGGCAAAGAGTAAGGATTACGTAAATGTCAACTGTCTTTGTATAACAGCTCAGCCTTGGGTTGCAGTTCTTGAGCTTTTAAGTAGTAAGTAAAATGTAACACTCCACAGTAAATGTTGAATTACAAGTAAGGCTCTTGAAAGGTCTTAATTTTGGCAAAGTAACATGTTTAATTTTTGTTGTTGAGTCTTTCAGTTGTGTCCAACTCTTCCTGACCCCATTTGGGGTTTTCTTAGCAAAGATACAAGAGTGATTTGCTTTTTCCCTCTCCACCTCATTTTACAGATAAGGAAACTGAGGTAAATAGGGCTAAGTGATTTGCCCAGGGTCACACAGCTAATAAGTGTTTGAGGGCAGATTTGAACTCAGGAAGACTCCAGGCCTGGCAGTCTATCCACTCTCCCACCTACCTGCCTCTAGGCTTAATTTTAATGTACTATGAATGTCAAGGAGGAATTAATGAGATAAGGGTTGTTTTGTTTAAATGTAGTACTCCATCTTGCTATATATGATGGGAACTGAAAACATTCAGGGGTGAAAAGTTCCCTAATTTTAAATACCATCATGTTCTAGAGGAAACTTGGAGCTTACCCAAGGAAGTTTTAAGGAAGTTTTAACCTTCTGCTCAACATTCCATGCTAAACCAACCTTCATTCTAACCCTACTAGAAAGATGTATTATTTACTACACTGTAAAGATTTATTATATACTACACTACTTCTGTAAGACAGGTAGTTGAGTCAAGTCAATGAAAATTTATTAAGCACCTACTATCTGCCAGACATTATTCTAAGGTTTTTCATTTCTTAAATCCATTTCAATTCAATAGGCATTTATTAATGTTACAGGCAACAGTACCTGCCTTTAAGAAGTCCATATTCTACACATCTTATTTATTTTTCTTTGTATCACCCACTATGCCTTGCACATAGTAGGTGCTCAATAAGTATTTGTTGAAATAAATTCACTTCTTTCTTCTTAGTTAGCAGAGCATATTGAAAAGGTAGGATGAAAGAAGGTCTGAAAAATCCCATCTAAAGCAAAGATTTTGTTATGCACATACACTGTACCGTGTTTAGCACGTTGTAAACCCTCAGTGAGTATTCAGTAGTAATAATGATGTAGTTGCTGCTTCTCTAAAGGTCCCATATCATTACTGGCTTAATTTTTCCTTAACATTTACTATTAATATATTTTAAAATTATATTAATATTAAACACAAGAAATTATTACTATATTAATGAATATATTAATTAATCTTTTTCTTAACTAGGACATTCTATTACAACAGTGCTGCTAGGCTATATGAGCAAATGGCCAGATGTCTGACTCTGCTATTTAGATGCTGAAGTCTTTCCTCTGGTTACTAGGAATAAATGTAAATTCTTGGATCAAAGTATCTTCTTTCCATTGCCACTGTAGAAGGGCAGACATCCAAGGTAGGAAAGTCCTGAAGAACAGGGAGAGTAAAGTGAATGGTTAGTGGATGCCTAAGGCCTCTCCATCATTATTTGCTAGAAAAAAATTTCGTAGATAGAGTGGAATGTGAAAATAGCAATGGAGGAAAAGAGAAAAGCATGGTAAAGGATGACCTCAAAAGTCCAAGAAATGAGAAAGTCAAATAACCAGAAAAAAAGTGGCAGGAACACAGGGCGATCTGAGAAGAGCATTCATGCATTGACCGTATTCTAATCTGGAGATAAAAAACATTCATAAGCATACATATCTAATCAACACAACTAAATTATAAACTTATGGAGGGGAGGGACCATATTTGTATGGTCCACCACCCCTACACATGCACATACATGCACACATGTATTTAGCATATAAACATATGTACATACATGTTCACATGTGCTTAGCTCAGTTCAGAAAATACAAAAAATATAGGTAAGTAGGTAATGAAGGAAGGTAAGAAGGAAGGGAGGCAGAAAAAGAGAGAAAAGCAGAAGATGATAAAGTATTTTGATATTAGTAGGAGAGAAGAAAGGAGAAGAATATAGGAGAAGAAATTATCTAAAATAGTATTTTCCAATCTAATCTATTCACAGGTTTTGGTCTTTAAATATAATGACTAAGGTTATCATGGTTTTCTCCAGAAGATTATTCTCACTATAATCCATTCTCTCTTTGTAATCTTCAATAACCCTTCTATCTACTGGTCCTTCTCTGCTGCCTACAAACATGAGAGTCTCTCTTATTCTTAAAAAACCTTACTGGATCCTAACATTCCCAATAGCTATAGCTCTATATGTTTCCTCCTTTTCTCAGCCAAACTCCTTGAAAAAGCTGACTATACTTGTTTCCTCTTTTTCCTCCTCTCCTTCTCTTCCAAATGCTCTATAGTATGGCTTCCAACCTCAACTAAAATTCTCTCTCCAAAGTTACCAATGACAAACCTTAACTAACAAACCTAACAGTCTTTTCTCAGTCTTCATCCTTGACCTCTCAGCAGCTTTTGACAGTGACACCCTTTCTTTCTGGATACTCTTCCTCTCTGGTGATGCTGTTGTCTTATTTCTCCTATCCATCTGACTGTTCCTTCTAGGTCTGCTTTGCTAAATCACCATCCATATCATTTGCCTAACCATAGATCAAGGCTCTTTCCTTGGCCTTCACTCTTTTTTTTCTCTACCTTCTCTCATTGGTTACCTAATTAGTTCTCATGGATTCAATTGGGGCCAACGACTCCCAAGATTTATATATTTAGCCCCAGAATCTCTCCTACATCACCAACATTTTATTTGACTTTTAACTGAAATTCCCAGAGATATCCCAAATTCAATATTTTCAAAACAAAACTCATAACATTCTTCCCACTCCTCTTTCAAAATCCCCTATTTCTGTTGAGGGTACCACCATCACTAGTGATACATGTTCTCAATCATGGTGTCATTCTCTATTACTCATTCTCATGCGCTCTATATAGCCAATCAAGTACAAAATTGTGTTATTTCTATCTCATTCTCATGCACTCTATATAGCCAATCAAATAGAAAATCTTGTTATTTCTATCTTCTGATCTCCCCCATCTGTCCCCTTCACATGACCACCACCACAGTTCAGGCTCTCATGATGCCTCATCTGGATTATAGCAATACCACCTAATTTGTCTTGCTACTTCAAGATTTTTTTGCACTCTGATTTATCCTATCTATCTATCATAGCTGATGAAGTGATTTTCCCTAAGCACAGATCTGATCATATCATCTCCCTACTGAATAAACTCTAGTGGCTACCTGTTATCTCTAGGATTAAATATAAGTTCCTCTCTTGACATTTAAAGCTTTTCACAAACTAATCCCAACCTATCTTTCCAGTCTTATTACACATTACTTCTTTCCATGCACTCTAGGTTCCAATTAAATTTCTTTTCATTTTTCACACCCAACACTCCACTCCCCATTTCTGTGCCTTTGCACTGGGTATATTCCATGCCTAGAATGCTCTCTCTGCTCACCTCTGCCTCTTAACATCCCAGATTGCCCTCAGGACTCAGCTTAATCATCACCTTTTACATGAAGCCTCTCCAGGTCTCCCCCAACCTCACTGCCATGGCTAGCCTGTATCTCCTTCACATGTATATTTATGAGTGTTTTAAATATACTTATGTTCACGTAGTCTTGCCAGTTAGAACATTAGTTCCTTGAGGTCAGAAATAGCCCCACTTTTGTTTTTATTCCCAGCACCTAATACAGTATCTGGCACATAGTAGGCCTTTCTTTAATAATGAGTCATTAGTCTAAATGTATTAAAATATCCATGGGATAAAGAGGAGAAAGGTCAGGGAAATTATGTTAGGAAATAGAGGACATTATGTCTATTTTTATTTTTAAGCTTACCATATGTAATATGTGCTTTGTAAATACATAATTTCATATTTAATACTTAGAGGGGAAAGTATCAGTCACTGGCATACGTCTCTTTCACAGACTCTTCATATAGTTTAGAACACCTGGGAACCTCAGAATATAATTTGGGAAATGTTGATCTATGTGACATTACCAAAGATCATGAATGGCAAGGATCCATTTCAATATAAGCACCAAAAATGCTTTTGAGACGATCCTCCGATTACTTACTTGTGCAATTAAAGTTTTGAGAGCAAGGAGACGCCCTTGAGATGCAGCTTCATGAAGTAGAGATCGATCAGCCCAGGATTCTGAAATACAAAATTAAAACCAAATAAAATGATGCTCCTATGAATAATTTTCCCTGACAACTTGATAGGAGAGACTATTTGGGAGGACAGAATACAAAGGTGCCCACTCTACAGTTTATTCTAAAAACGAACACTACTGAGAAAATACCAGTATAGCTCATTCAAGGTAGGCATGCTACTGCATAGAATCCATTGGTCCCTTTCAAAGTTGCATTTTATCATCCTTATCACAATTTTTGGGGGAGGAACTTCAAGGGAAGAGTAAACTTTGATTGTGTCATCATTATACTATGTCTAGTACTTGAACACAGCTCCAAATATGGCTTATGTAGGGAACAATTCACATCAACACCATATTCTACACTTATCTTTCTTGCCGCTCCATGCTTTCTTCTATCTACCAAAAAATTCAACCAGCAAACTTATTTTGGTTTCTATTGCCTAGTATAACCATCTGTTTCATGTGGACTAAAGATATTTGGCTGAGAGACGTGGGCTCAGTCACTCAGGAGACTCTATAGTTATCATCAAATATAGAAGGAAAATCTTTGCTATTTTTACAATGCTGAGGAAGGAAAGTGACTAGAATTGTGTTAATTCAGTCTTTTCCCTATGTGACTTCATTGTGCTCCACTTTAGGTACAAAATGGAGATAAATAAGATTCCCAGTAGAAAAGTTGCAAAAATATACTGTTACCCCCACACAGCTTCAATCAGTGAGTCAATAAATATTTGAGTGCCTACCATATCATATACAGGAACACAGAAACTAGAGTATTAGATGGAAAGTCAGAAAGTCATGGGGCCAAATTCTGCCTCAAATATTTACTGATTGTATAACCCCGGACAAGTCATTGAACATCTTTCAGCCTCTTTTCCTTCTATGTGAAATGGGTAAATTAGCATATAATTTACAGGGGTGTGGTAAGGTTCAAATGAGATCATTATGTTAAATATTTGTAAATGTGATATGTATTATATATCAGCTATTATACACATACATACACATACAAATACATCATCTTACCTATCATCTAACATTTATTATTTGATAAATGTTTGATAAATTTACAAATGTAAATTGTTATTAACTGATAAATGTTGTCTAATGCCAAAGCATGAGATAGTAGAATGTTTAGATTCTGAGTATGCAGAGTCAGGATTCAAACACTTCCTCAGACACTTATCAAAGATGTTACATTTAGCAAAATTCAGAACCTCCGTTTTCTCATCTATAAAAAGGGAATAGTAATATAGAAAGTACTTAACTTCATAAAGTTGCAAGGCTCATATGAGATTGTATATGTGAAATTATGGTTATTGTTCTTCAGAAAAAGGGACTAGAAAGAACAAATGTGTACACCTATGACAGTTTATTCTCTCTGTTTCTAAAAGGCAAGAACACTGTAAAATTCACATTAGAAGCTTCCAAATACTCTATTTAATCTCATTCCAATAAAGGATGCTTCCAACAAACAAAGAAACTGCTTGTTTTCATTAATAGTGTCCAGCCTTTGCATTATTTGATGTTTACTTTCCTATTTTCTCTTGGGTCTAATCTTACCAGATTTTAGTAATGTGACTGCGACATGGCAGATGCTGCTGTTATTGTGGAAAGCTAGTGAACCAACCTTACATGTCTAATTGCTCTAAGAGGCAGGCTCACTGATGTCTGCCCTGCCTAAGTCTCTCTCAGAAAACAAGCTGGCCTGTTTCAATAAACAGATGAGAAGCCAACATCTCTGTTTCACTTAGCAATTAATGTCACACAGGAAAATGTAGTTCCATTTGTGAAAGGAGCATTGAATTTGTAATCATAGGACCTAGATTCGAATTCCATTTCTACCACTTGTTACTAATGTCATGTTGGCAAAGTTATTTAACTTTTCTGAGATTTTTCCTCACCCGTAAAATGATGGGTTAGGCAAAATAATAACTAAAGTCCCTTCCATATAATCCCATGATCTAAGGACTTGATTTTGAAGTAAATACTGTTAGCATTTGGACAGGCAGTACAGTATACAAAATAGAGAAATGGCCCTGGATTCAGCAAGACCTAACTTCATATCCTTCCTCAGATGTGTCTTGTGTGACCCTATGCGAATCACTTAAAACTCTCAGAGCACTAGTTAAGTCACTTAAAACTCATAGAGCCACAGGCAAATCTCTAAGAGTATAAATTGCAGAGAAGATGCCAATCTGCTATGGATAAATGAATTCTACATTAGAAGGTGAGCTCTTTGAGGGAAGGGGTGGAGTTTTTACCCTTTTTTGTATCCCCAGAGTTTAGTACTGAGCCTGACACATAGTGTTTAGTAAATAGTTATTGACCTGTTGACTATTAGAAATTCTTCACTGGAGGTTCTTTACAGAAACAAAATTAAAGGTCTGGACTTCTGGGTCATGTGAACAACAAGATGAAGGACTAGATATTTTCTCTGCTCCTTATAACCTCTAGAATTTCTCCAAAATAGGAATTATGTATGAATGATAAAACAATTTCAGCTGTCTTCATGGTCTAGGACATCAAGAACCCAAACAAGGTAAAAACTCAATGAACTAACACCAGAGAAAGCCAATAATCCCTTACCCCTGACACACTCAGCACCCCCTTTTTCCTACCATGTTCCCAACAGCAGGACTGCACAAGATGGCCCACTCTCTTCCAACAGAACTTAACTCTACACCCTAACCCCAACCTTCTCTCTTCTCCCTTCTCCCAGTACTGCAGAGATCCAAATGGCAGAAATTTGATTAGGCTGTGATAACAAGGAGTCGTATAACAACAATAAGCAGTAGTACTCTGTGCTATTAGAGAGTTTAGCAGAGAAGAGAGGAACAAAGGTAATAGAGGCAAGACACACAGGGATGTGGGGCAGTGGAATGCCACTAACTTGAGGAAAAGAGCCTAGCATCTACCTGGGGGTAGTTCTGTCCCCCAAAAAGTAACTATGGGCATAGATTTAGGCTGGTGAACAGTGAATGATCCAGAATAGGAGGAGAGTGAGACACTTTTGAGATCCAGTCCCTAAGAAAACTGCCATCAAAGGGGAAGGAGTCAGAAAGTAAGCAATAGGGTAAAGCAAGGGGTAGGGGGAGACTGAAATTACCAAAGGTCTCAGGAAGAAGAAAACTGAATCAAAGACCTTAAGCATAAGCAGATAAACCTACAAGGAATATACTAATAGCAAAAGGAAATGTGGTGTCCAGATCAGGTATGAGAATACAGGCATATATATATGTGTGTATATATATATATATATATATATATATATATGTATATGTATGTATTGCAAGACAAAAGAAAATAAAACAACACCTGAAGAAGCAGAGGATCCTGAGAAAGACAGCATGGAACCACTATAGGATGTGCCTAAATAGTTTAAAAGAGTAATAAGGATTTCAAAAGCAGAATTAACTGGTAGAATAGAAGGCTTATGAGCCTCACCAACAAAATAAAAGAGAGAATAATTGATTCAGGATGTAAATATGTGGAAGTGAAGGACAATCTTGAAAAAGAGAAACAAAAAGCAATAATATTTTCTTAAAAACCATGATCTCCATGCAAGCAATGATCTTAAAAGACAAGATACATAGATACAACTTAAAGATTATAGGGCTTCCAGAAGAACATAAGTAAAACACACACACACACACACACACACACACACACACACATACACACACACCCCAAACAAAAAAACCTGTGCATCATAGTGCAAGAAAGAATATAAGAAAACTGCCTAGAACTTCTGGACACAGAAAACAAAATCTATTCTTGAAAGAATCAAGAGATCACCTCTAGAAAAAAAAAAAAACCTATGCTACAAACTCAGACATATAGTGGTTAAATTTAAGAATTTCACTGAAAAACAACAAATTCAGTAAAAGACTGGAAGAAAGATATTCAAATACAAAGGAAAGGTAATTTGAATAAGACAAGACATTCACCATAAACCACAGGAAGAAATGAAATAACTTGTCCCAAAGAGCAAAAGAGCTCAAGATGCAATCAAAGGTGGCTTAACCTATAAATTTGAACCTAATTATTAATGAAAATAGATGGATATTCAGTTTTTAAAAAAACACTTGAGGAAATTATTAGCTTCTTAAATATCCCAGAAAATAGAAATACAGGAAAGATAAATGCAACAACCAGGAACAACAGCAAGACCATTAAGATTTCTTTCTAAAGGCACACAAAGTGACAAGGGTGAAGTCAAATAGTGACGGTGGAGAAACAGCTAAAACACCACAGACACACTCACCTCACAACACTCTTGCCTATAGGTGAATCAAGTTTTTTTGTGAGACTAGATTACCAAATGGAATGGTGCATAAAAAGGGTGAAGGAAGGAAGAAGATAGAAGGGATGTATCCCAATTAAGTTAAAGATTAACTCTGAAGGGAAATTTAACTCCTATAGTCTCTGAGAAAGAAGGTGGCCTACAGAAGATTGGGTGAGAGGACAAAGGGAAGGATTGAAAGAGAGGGAAAGAAAGTGAGAAATATTGCTTCAGTGGTAGAGGAGGTACTACTGATGAATGCTCCCATGGAAGAAGACAGATATTTTATAAAGAGAGCTTGGGACCTTATAAGGGTTGTTATCTGTGGGGGTTTGAGACCTAGAGAGACCACTAATCCTGCCTCACAAGAAAAGGAATCAGAGCTTCTGGAGATGACTGACACCCCAAAGAGTGAGAAGGCATGGACTGAGGAAAGAGATTTCAAGGCAAATGGGGAAAAAAATGACCAAGGGGAGCACAATGGTCAATAATGAATTGAACAATCAGAGAAATGAGAAAATTCCTACCATGAGGCAATATCCTCTCTATCACCTGCAGGAATCAGTATTTCTGAGAATGAGGCATAACTGAAAAAATGTAGCTAGGGGGCAAGATTTACAAGACAAAAGTATAGCAACTATTTAGAAGGAACTCAAAATAGGTAGCTTAGAAGCTTTATTCCACAAGGAATACATAGACTAAAGAAAGGTTAAG